ACAAACACTAGCTACTCTCTGCTAACCTTAAGTTAGCCGTTAGCTTTTCTTTCAACTATCACTGACGACGCTGCTAACACAATTTATTCCTTCCTTAGGACTCCTAAATTCCTTGCTAACAGCTCATCCTTTCCCAGACCCTCATCCTTTGAAGTCATAGTTAAACATCCATATACATGAAAGTTATCACAAAGATGTATAGTATAGTATGCCATAAATTAGCAGGAAGAGGATGCATTGTTCCCCTCTTCCTTTAGAACTTTTATGCTGGTTTCTTAACTTACCTGATGCATTATTGTAACTAAATCTTGCTAAACAGTATAAATAAAGACCTGCAAAAAGATGAGCAGGAAAACTTGCACCCAACTCCGACTCCTGTGTCTTCCTCATGCCTGCTCTCCTTTTTCCCCTTTTAGGAATCTCTGCTCACCAACACCGCTCCCACCTTTGGACCCTGCCTGTTTTGCCCCCCAATAATCCGTGATCGGGGCCGGTCCCTGACAGAAAGTCTTGTAAATAAGCTCTTGTCATTTAGAATATTAAGTGAAACTTTGGCAGGTAGTTAAAGCTTTGATCGGACTTGACTTTGAATCCTACTTTTGAACATCTGCTATACAACCTTGAAAAAATTAGGCTTTCCAGGGCCCTCCCTGGTGGCGCAGCAGGTTGGAGCACTGCACTGGGAAGCTTAGGCCACTTCCGCATGGGTTCGATCCCCTCCTGACCCAAGGACATCCACATGGTGTGGATCTCTCCTGGCGCCCACTGCTCCCTTCAACAGTTTACTTCGTTGATCTGCCTGTTCTGCACCCGGCTCTGTCTCTGATGAATCCTCTCACCCTCTGCATCTCTGGTCTGTGCCCCAGTTCTGTATGAATAAACAAATAAATCTTTAAAAAACAAAACAAAAAAAAATTAGGCTTTCCAAACCATGGTTACCCTATCTTTTTTATTGTTGTTGTTGAGATGTAATTGACATTATTTTAATTTCAATTGTACAATAGTCATATATTAAATAGAAAAAATAATGCCTTGTGATGAGAGTTAAATAACATGTATCAAGCATTTAGCATTAATAATGTTAGTGGCAGACCCCCCCTGATTGTGGAACAGGTTAAAGTGCAGCACTGCAAGTGTTGATCTGCAGCCACTTCAGTGTGAGTTCAATCCCCAGCCCCGGTGGCACGGCAGACCTCTCCTGACCTGCCCACTGCCCTCCTCAGCAGTGTATTTTGTCAATCTGCCTGTTCTGCTTCCCATTCTTTCTCTGGTGAATCCTCTCACTACTCCTGCACCTCTGGCCTGCACTCCCGTTCTGTATGCACAAATAAACCTTTTTAAAAAATAAATGTTAATGAGCATGTCTAACTCAACTTTGAAGGATCTTGAAAGCTTCCCAGAGTGACTTTGAAACTTGAAGGATGAGAAGTTAAGTGATTGGCAGGAGGGAGAGAGGGTGGGGAAGGAAAGTCCCAAGTAGAAAGGTCGGTACAAAGGGCTTCAGACTTGTTTTCAGTTTAGAACATGAACAAAGGACAGAGTATGTCTTTGCAGTCTCGGCCTCCATTGACACTAAAACAGATAGATAGCTGTATCTGTACTTGGACCTAGAAGGCAGCCATCTTTTCACATCCCCACATGCATAGCAAGTGCCCTCTGAGGTGGGAGAGGGGTTAGAGAGTATGTGAGGGACTCACAAGACTGCCTCCACCAGACTGCAGGTTTATTCTTTATTCACTTATTCTTGTACCTCTGCCATATATCCTTTCCTCTATCTAGCCTTCTTGCTGCCCCAGGAATCCTCCATTGCATGGTAACAAGACTATATGGAATACTTTATAGACTTCCTCTTCAGCTTTCTGAACTTATCTATAGCCTAAGGTTATTTTGTTAATGACCCCAGCCTGGGATCTAAGAACAAGAAAGAAGGGACCACATTTTCCCAACTCCCAAATGCAGACTCAGATCATTAGTTTTTCTTCTATTGCGTAAAAAATTCTTCCTCTAAAGTTCACACTCTTCAATATGGCACGTGAGATTTAATCCCAGCCCACCAACCTACCCAATTCAATACACCCCTCTGTTGCACAGATTCAGGGTAAAGCTGTTCTTGCTCTTCTGACCCACAAGCATGGTTCAATCTTTGGGTTTTTCATCTTGCTGTACCTGAAAGCTTGGAATACTCTTCTTCCAGAACTTGTTATGACCAACTCCTTCCCATGATTCAGGTTTCTGACTCAAATGTCAGTTTGACGAGGCCTCCTGGCTGTCTAAGATAGCACCTCTCCTTCCATTATTTTCTGCTGATTTTCTCTATAACTTTTACTATTACCTGACATTATGTATTGTTTAAAGATTTATTTATTCATACAAGAACTGGATTACAGGCAAGAGGTGAAAGGGGTGAGAGGATTCACTAGAGAGCAGAAGAGGCAGATGTACTGAAATACACTGCAGAGGGGGGCAGCAGGCTGGTCAGGAGAGGTCTGCTGTGCCATATAGGTCAGCTCCCTGGCAGGGGATCGAACTGTGTTGCAGTGGCTACAGATAGCTTCATAGAGCTAAGACTTCAGGAACCCTTATGCCACCTGCGAGGCCCTATTATTTGAAATCATTTAGAGTGTAAGTATTGGGAATGATGAGATGCTATGTCTTCATGTCTGTCACTAACACATACAACTGTTTTGCACACAGTAGGTGCTATGCAAATATTGGCAATAAATGATACTTTTTTGTTTTTTTATAAAGCTTTATTTATTTATGCATACAAGAACTGGGATACAGGCCAGAAGCGAGAGGGGTGAGAATATTCACCAGAAACAGAATAGGGAGCAGAACAGGAAAATTGACTGAAATACACTGCTGGGGGAGCAGATCTGCTGCATCATGTGGGTTACCTCCCTGGCTGGGGAATCAGATTCATCCTGTAGTGGCTGTAGACAGCTTTATAGTGCTGCACTTTAACCCATTTTGCCATCAGGGAGGGCCCTAAATAATATATATATATATTTTTTTAAATGAAATTTTAGGGTCTAAGAACTGTAGTTAGTGAGTTCTGCCCATTTGTATGGAAAAGCAGAAATCCAGAAAGAAATCTCTGGGAGTTTTCATAGAGTAATAGAGCCATAGACCAACTTGAATAAGGACTTAATGAGAATCTGCAAAGTTTATTTATCATTTACCAAGTTTACTCTCTGTGCCAAGCACTGTACTCAGGAACAAGAGAGGGTGGGAATAAAACAAGATTATTCTATTCTGAGTTCTCTTACATCTGCAGTAAAAAGTGTTTTTCTGGAAATACTTTTAGTGACTTGCAAGGCTCTACTGTCAATTTTTCAGGAATTTTCCGAACCAGTTGTTAAATATCATTAAAATTCAAGTTATGTAAACATACATGTTATATTAAAAAGATAATATACACTTACAGCTTCCCATTGCCTAATATTTTTACTATAGGTTACTGTTACTATGTACTATAATGGAAATATTATATAATGAGCATATTTTTCCCAGCTGCATGTTCATAACAATGGTAGCTTGAAATCAGCTGTGGGGGAGAGTTTACACCATGGAAATTGGCAAACACCATAATTAGTTCTTAACTACTTATAACCCCTCAACCTTATGCCCCCCACAAACACGGAACAACCTGTTAAGGATAGAGTATGTGTTGTCTGCCACTGATTTAAAGAACCCCTAGGACCATCAATAAAGGGAGTCCAGGTTTCTGCATGTCACTGTCATCTGGAGTCACACAGCTCTGCCACTTACAAGATATATGACTTTACTTCTCTGGTTCCTACTTTTTAGGGCTGAAATTCTTAGAACTTTTGCTGTGTTATTAATAGCTATTACTATTAAAACTCTAAATTGCTTTAGACTCGTTAGAAATAGTAGAGATGTCTTTATTGATTGTATTTTAATAATCAATTCTTTCATTATTCAGGTAAAAATTGCAAACATCTGGAAGGTAAATTGTTTTGTAAATCCTAACCTCATCCACAATACCTACGATCGTTTTTTATAGCTATGCCGGGTCCAGAGAGGTCTAATCTATATTTGATCTCCTAGCTTTGGAAGCCCAAAGGTGGAGTAAGCATGTTTACTGGACCTTGAGCAGAGGGATGGGGGCTTGGCCTTGGCAGGGTGCGCAGGCGTCGGCCTGGCCCAGCCCAGCCAGCCCTACGGGTAGAGCTGGCGTCTGCGGGGTGAGCATTCCCGTGAACAGACTCGCGAACGCCGATTCCGTGTGTCGCTACGGGTGTTCCACCGAGGCTTCCCAGCGAGTGGGACACACCTGTCTTTTACCGGCTTCCTATTGGTCTGACCCTGGTACTGGCCTTATAGCGTCAGCTGCAGGGCTGGTCACAGGCGGGAGAGCCCGACCTAGAAGTGTGACGTCAGCGAATGGGTGCCCAGGCTGAGGAGCCGCGGGCGGAGCCTGTAGGAAGGTGTGCGGGGGGCTGCTTGGGGGACCGGCGGGCGGGGCCGGGAGGTTGTGACGTCACGGGTGGGCGGGGCACCTCGCAAGCTGGTAGGTAAGCGGGCTGGCCAGAGGCGGCGCTCGTTTAAGGCGGCAAGCCGCACGGAGCCGTCTTGCTTAGTCTGCATCCCGCGCTACCCATCATGTCTCTGAGAAGCAACCTTTCTCGTCTCCTCCGGACGCAAGTGCATCCTGCCCTGAAAAAGTCCATTCACTCCGTCGCTGTGATCGGAGCCCCATTCTCACAGGGCCAGGTGAGAACTGAGACCTCGCACTGTGGGGCAGGCAGCATGCAGGTAACCCGGAGAAAGCGGGGATAGGGTGGAAGGGTCGAGGAGGCGAGGAGAGGATGGCGAAGCGAAGAGGGGACACGTTGGTGCTTTCTGCGATTGGTCACCAGGAGAGCACGTGGATTTGCCCCGCTAGAAGACGGGGAAAGTGGGAAGAGATGGACTCTCTGGGCGGCGGGCAGGGGGCAGCGAGCTGGCGGATTTCTGCGGTCTTCCCAGAAGGAACGAGAAAGTAATGGGTTCAGCTTGGGTGAGGAAGGGGATGGTGGAGAAGGAATCGACCAGAACCACCGAGGGAAAATTGAGCCAGAGGTTAAAGAGACCTACCGAGGATCTAAAGCTCCTGGATCCATTCTCAGAACACTTAATGGAAAGGAAACTGGAGCTGGCTTCTCTAGCCGACGGGAGGGGCTGTTTTGTTCTCTTTCAATGAAAGAAACCTGCAGAGAGCTTACTGGCGGAGAAGCCCCTCTGGCCCCGGGAATCGGCTGCACGTACACCCAACCATCCGATCCTGACCTAGCTCGACCCCTTTCCATGCAGGGGCTCGGAAGATTGGTTTGGTTCCAGTGATTCCCCCCCCCCCTTCCCTGCAAGTGTTTGAAATGAGCGGACCCAGGTGAAAAATAACAAAAAGGTGATGGCCATCACAGATTTTCAGCGAGCTCTGTTGGCAATTGAGTGAGTGTAGTACAGCAGATTTCTGTATTTTTGTGAATTAAAGTGACCTTTTCCAATCACCCTTCATCACATCTAACTATGTAATTTATTATGTGACAGAAAAGAAAAGGAGTTGAATATGGTCCAGCCGCTGTAAGAGAAGCTGGTTTGATGAAAAGGCTCTCCAACTTAGGTAAGTGGCTGTATTTTAAATGCTTGTGAGGGCTGGTAACAAACCAGTTGAGTCTTATCCCCAGCTACACAATGCAGCTGGGTTGCTGGGAAGCATCTCCCTCCTTTGGGTTCCATCTGCCAGCTTAAGACTGGCGAAGTTTTTAGGCAAGGTCTTGTTGCAAAAGTGCATGCAAGGCAAGAAAGTGGAGTGAGATGGGGCCCATGATGAGCTGTTAGTGGCTGCAAAGCGGTGCAGAGAATGCTAGCTTCAGCTGTCTAACTGCAGACTTTATTCTGAATTCTCTCTTAATAGTCATAAGGTCACTGTGAATCATGGCTCTAGCCAATATCCTCTCCATCATTCCACTTCCTCCTTAGGGTTAATAATTTTAACTTACTGTAAGCAGCTTACATCAGTCTTTCCAACTTCTCTGATTATGAAAATAACCTGGGTTACTTGTGAAAGTATAAATAAGGATGCCTAGGCACCTCCATAGAAATGTCTGGTTGGTTGACTCAGGAGTGGAACCCAGACATGTTTTCACAAACATCCTGGTAGTCAGAAGTAAACTTGCAGTGTTGTAATTAGGACAGTGTTCAAAACTTACAGATCTAGAAGTAAATCTGACCCAAGATAAATGCTATTTACTTAGTAATGGAGAACCTCTCTTAGAAAGAAGGCACCAAATTTCAAGTCTTTTTTGGTAGAAGGTTCTTCCTTATACCTAACCCAATGGTTTCCAGTTGCGGTTTAGGGCAATTTCCGCCTCTTATTTTAGGAACTTCCCCACATCTTTTCTGGAGTTGTAAAGTGCAAAAGGTGTGGCAGAAAGGAGTTGGAGATACTAATTCAGAATCTGGGTGAAGTACAAATCCCCTCCATCCCCTTGTTTGAAACTATCTCACTATCTCTGCTGGTGAGGGAGTCCATTCCAAGGTCATCTCCCTCCAAAACACAGAGTATTTCAAATAATTGAGTTGTCAAAGTCTCCTTGAGTTGAGATGTCCTTCTTGGCCTCAAGCCGCATTTGGATAGGGTGTCTTGAGTTGTCAAAACTTCATGTTAATAATTGCAGTTTTTCCTTTTTAGTCATTTTTATTTTTAAAGATTTATTTACTCATACAAAACTGGGGTACAGGCCAAAGGTGCAGGGGCGGTGAGAAGATTCACCAGAGACAGAGTGGGGGGCAGAACAGGCAGATGGACAAAGTACACTGCTGAGGGGAGCAGAGGGTGAGACAGGAGAGGTCCGCTTTGCCCATGTGGGTCACCTCCATGTCTGGGGATTGAACTCACACTGGAGCAGCTTTGGCTAGCTTCGCAGTGTTGTGCCTTAACCCACCAGGGAGGGCCCTTTTAGTCATTTTTAACAACTCTCCAAGTTTGCTGTCAAAGATAAAAGATAAATTGCTAAAGATTTGGTCTTTGTGTGCCCCGAGTTAGCTATGGAAAGAGGGTTTTGTGCCTGCTGATCTGTAAGACTGCCCCCTTAACCAGCTGCACACATTTAGCCCTTTAAAGCATCATTCTGACACTGAAGGCGGCAATCTGTGGTAATCACTGGCTTTTTTGTTTGCTTTGATATTGGATAAACCTTTTCGACCTTTTAGATGAACTAGGCCAGGCATTGCTCGAATTTCCTGCTGGTTGCTAGACTCTGCCTAAAGAGACTGACAAGATCAGCTTCAGCCTTTTGTCCTGGAGACAGTGCTCCTCAGTCTTGGCTGCTGAGTGAGGGGGAGGGGCAAATTTGTAGCCACCTCTCTCCTTCCTCTCACTACTCTGCCTATGGCTCCTTTTCCTGTCACAGCTTACGGTATTTTTCCACTCCAGCAGGGAAGCCTTTCTCCCTTAAATGCTATCCTAATGCGAATCCTGTCCTGCAAGCTCAATCTAAAGTAACCATGAAGGCTTAGTTTATGTGGTCATCTATTTCGGGTATTTTTAGTTTTATAATTATGTCTGTATCCTGTAGTGGATGGGTAGCCTGGTGTCACGAGCAGTTTTAAATAGAATCTCATCGCATATTAATAAGACTGGCACTCAGCAGATTTCCAGCGTGTGGTTTTGGCTCCTCTCCAGTATGTTGGAAAAAAGTACCAAGAGAAGTTTCAATTGCTGTGTTCCCAAATAGCACCGAAATACCGTTAGTCCTTTGAGCACTTTGATATGCAGCACTGTCACATTTTTAGGGGGAGAAGACCCCAGGAGCGTAACTTTCACAAATCCCTTTGTTCTTGCTTCCTGCTCTGATGTCACTGGCAGCTGATGTTGCCATGGCATCAGCTAAACTTCCCGTTCTCTTGAGTGAATGTATTTGATTTAGTGGCGGGGCTTGTTTTTCCTTTCCTTGGGCTGGATAATCACACTCGAAGGTTCTCTCTCAGGTAACCATTTATTTTAATATATAAAGCCAACCTAAGAGAAATGGAGAGGCAATACTCTAGCCAGCACAGAGGCAGTGCCTGTGTCCCTGATCCTGGTTAGCTCTGGCAGCCAAGGTAATTTGTCTTTTTTTCTTCAAATGAGTGTTCTGTGAGTGATGATTGTTTAAACTAAGATTAACAGTTGGCGTTCTCTTTCATTCAAATTATGGTAATTTGACCTAGTTGTGATGCTGAAGAGGCAGATAGAACTACCGAACTAGCCACTTGATTAGATAGACCAAGTTCCAGGAGTTCTGGAAGCCTTTGGAGCTAACCTGGGTCCCCCAGCTGGCTTTGGACAGAACTTCTGTTCCATTTGGTGCTCCATTGGATGACACGGTAAATGATATCTTAGGTTGAGACTCAAGAAGACATGTCTCCTCAGCCGAAACTTCTAAGATATGAGAGCTGTTCATTAGGAGCAAATTGGCATGTGAGTTCAGGGATCTGTATTGGTCTGGCAGAGAATGTTAGTCTGAATGAGCTGTGTGGTAGTGATGCTTCAGGTGCATCCCAGCCTACCATTCCACTGAAAGTACAGTCATCGCACGCATTGACTGATGATTGTAGGTCATCTTGACTGTACAACTGACCTCTGAAATATCCTCAGGTGGCCACTCTCTGGGTAAGTGCTGGTGTCCCCAGTGCTTCCTCACTGTGAATGCCTCAAGTGACCAATCCCATCCACTGCCACATCTCTCTGCTCCAACTGTGTGTGACCTTCCTCTAGAATGCCAGGCCTGTTCCTCCAGCTTTGTTCAAAGTAGCCTCATTTCACCCAGAATCTTCCCATTCAATATGTTCAAAACAATTCATTTTCTCCTCCCTCAAATCTCATTCTGTCTGTAGTTTGTTTTCCCATTATCTGTTTCACACTATCTCTCCTTATCTAGTTATTCAAGTCAAATTCGAAGACCACCATTCTTTTCCCCTTACCTTTGTTGATTAGAGTCTTGTTGACTTTTCCCTCCTAAACCCTCTCCATAATGGTACTACTCTAATTCTGTCCTTAACTCACACACCAGTAGTATCTCTTATCTATTTTGCTTTCCTGCCTCCAACTGATCCAAGACTGTATTTCTCTTTTGCTTAAAGTCTTTCCATGTCATTTCTTTTAAATACATCCATGCTTCTCAGTCTCTGGCCATTCATAACCATCTTTGCTAATTTGCCATAATTTTTATTTTGGTGTCTCTTTAAATTGGAGTTTAAGCTTCAGACTTTTGAAGTGTAACCTGCCCCTTCAGTAAACAGTGAAATCTCAGGCTTGTGTCAGGTATATCTTTCTAGTATATTCTAGTTTAATGGTGATACATTTTTTAAAAAAGATTTATTTTATTTATTTATGTATTCAAGAGCTGGCGTGTAAGCCAGAGGTGTTGAGGGGGGAGGGTGAGAGGATTTCCCAGAGACATTGGAGAGCAAACAGGCGAATTGTTAATGGTGTTGATTTTTACATTTGCCTTTCAACCATGAGTGGTTTGTGTGTTTTTTTTTTTTTGAGATTTATTTATTTATGCATACAGAACTGGGGTTCAGGCAGTGGGAGGATTTACCAGAGACAGAGTGGGGAGCAGATCATGAAGTACACTGCTGAGGAGAGCAGTGGGTGAGACAAGAGAGGTCTGCTGTGCCATGTGGGTCAGCTCCCCGACCTGGAATCAAACTCTTGCTGCAGTGGCTTTGGAAAGCTTCACAGTGATGCGCTTTAACCCATTGAGCCACCAGGGAGGCCCCATGGTTTGTGTTTTAACAACCAACCAGATTAAGTCCTCCCAAATTTGATTCCCTTCCACCTTTTTAGACTTATATCCATCCACACGCCACCTGTTTTGATTGCGGCAGTGAACTTATGACTCAAACTCTCCCAGCTGAAGCATACATCCTAGACTTTGATTTGAAATTCAAACCCGAGTGGCCAGGAATTCATTCTGTGATGGGCAGTGGTGGTAGCAGTTGCAGCCTGTGTCCTGTCACGTCAGCCGTGCCCACGGCAGCTCCTTCTGCTTCCCAGGAGAGGAGGTGGCCGCAGGACAGCCTGTCCACTGGCCCATCCTGCAGTGTTTCTGTTGGCACCTTTATTCCTCCTAGCAGTGTGGTTTTAACTCAGATTTCAGGCCCTGTTAGAGATTGTGGGTGTTACCCAAACTAAACAAATTATGCTGAAATTAGCCAGGAAACAACAGGTTTCTCTGTTGTTTGCAGCTTAATATTCTGACAAGCCATTTTACAAAATCCAGCAAGTCAGGTGGCAAAACTCTTTCCCATGCCGATAATAAATTCTTGTTCTTTGTTTGCTTGACTCAATCTTTTGTAAGTTAATGTAACTCATTGGGTTACAGTTTCTTTGCCCTTTAGTTAATTTAAGACTGTATCTTAGTCCCTTTGGATTTTAGCAGCTCCATGCTTTCTTGGTACTTTGATTTTTGAACCATCATGTTCCATAATGTGACTTCTTAAAATAGCACCCTTGGCTTTTAATTAAAGATATCTTCAAGTCCTAGGCATAGCTGACTACAGTAAACAGATCTGCCTTAATGTGTTACTGTGACTTAACGTCATTCTAGTGCTTTGTACCTTGAGCATGGCAGT